TTTTAACCCTTTTAAATAAAAGTGAAATGACAAAAACAATAAATAAGTTCAAATTACGTGCTTATAGATTAAGACTAAAAGAGATAGAATTAATATTGAGGTTTTTAACATTATATACAATAAGGATAATAGACATATATTTTCATAACTTCTACATAAATATAATAACTAGTGTTGTTAGTAATCCATTACAAGCTGATGTAGTAGAAATTAATGAAGAATTATATGAACTTAAATCATATAAAAAACAGGGAAATAGATTTTATAAGAATATTGATGAACACATAATAATACTGAACCATAAAGGAGTACGATATATTTATGATAACAAGAAATTTAAAACACCCGAGATTGAATATGTTGATTTATTAAAAAATAAAGATTATAAATTAGAAAATGAATATTTAGAGGCAAGAAGATTTCTATTTGGAGATAACGTATCAAAAACACAGAGGGTGACATATTTTGATGTAGTTGAAGAAGTATTTTTAAGTGTTGAAACACTTTGGTATGTAATTGCAATATTTATTTGGTATAAATCAGGCTATGGAATATATGCATCAGTATCAGCAGTTCTTCATACATGTTCAATGATAATAGATATCTATCAAGGTATTAAAAATATACCAAAATACAAGGATGAGGAACTAGAGGATATAGAAGTCTATAGAAATGGAAGTTTTATTACCAGTAGAGCAGATAAAGTGTATCCAAATGACATAGTAAAGATAAAGCCCACTAAATCATTATTTGCGGACATAAGAATTATACATGGAAGCATACTGATGTCAGAGGCACACTTGACAGGGGAAAGCATTCAGATTATGAGGTTTCCAGATGAAAGTGTACATGCAGGAAGTGAAATAGTTAATTCATGTTCTAAAGATAAAAGGGCGTATTCATTACTTGAGAATGAATGTTATTCAATTGGAGTAGTAACACACACCGGTAGTATGACAATTCAAAATCAACTTCTTTATTATATAACTTCTAAAGGGACAGTTGATAATTCATTTAAAAATTCAGTAATTAATGTTTATAAGAAAATGCTTATTATAGGATTAATTCTTTGTGTTTGTAGTTTTGTGAGGATGTTAAATTTAAAGTTTTCTTTTAGCGTTGCCTTTTATGAGAGTTTAGACTTATTTATTAATTTATTAAATCCTTCTATGCTTAATTCAATTTCTGCTAACACATCACTCTTTAAGAAAAAGTGTAATGATTTTAATATTATAGTTAGAGAGAGTGATATGATTAAACAGGCTGGATTATGTAATACAGTTGTTTTTGATAAAACGGGTGTTCTTACCTACAATAAACCAGAGTTCTATGCTTTTGTTAATAGGGCAGGAGAGATAACTTTTACTCCACTAGAATGTGAAGATCTTGTTGAGATGTGCTTTCTTTGTTGTCACACCCTACAGAGTCTTAATGAAGGAGATGAGATTGATCAGGCCATGTTTAGTGTAACAGGGGCTAAAATTATTAATGAAGGTCCTAATAGGAGTATAATGACTTCATCTGGTAAACATCTTCTGATTAATAAGAGTTATCCATTTAATTCTTTTACAGCTAAACAGAGTTGTGTAGTTGATTATGATGATAGGGAGTTTATTTTATGTAAGGGTGGTCTCACTGCTGTTATGGAAGATGATCTACCTGAGGATATTGAAGAATTGTCTAAAAAGTATGAAAGACTTGGTTTTAGAATATTAACCATTTTAGGTGATGAAAGAGAACCAACTTATGATAGAGATTTAGATGAGGTGGGTTTGGAATTTTTAGGATTTGCTTTATTTACTGATAAAATTAGAGAGGATACACAAGATGTTGTAGGTGAGTTGTTGTCTTCAAATATTGGAATTAATATTTGTACAGGAGACTCATTAGATGCAACTATTTCTGTGGCATCTGAAATTAATATTTGTACGAGAGAAAACATTCAAATTATTGATGAAGATAATTATCAAATTCTTCTTAGTGATTCTAAAGGTCTTTTTGCTATTGAAGGAGACTCATTAGATGAATTAAAACTTGATTCATTTTTACCTGAAATTATTAAACGTACTGTTATATTTGGAAGATGTGATCCTAAACAGAAACAAATGGTTGTTAATTTACTTAAAGATATGAATAAGAATATTTTGTATGTTGGTGATGGTGACAATGATTTAGCTGCCATGGCTGATGCTAACGTTAGTTTATCACTTACAAAGGATACTAGAATGGTTGTTTCATCATTTATTTCTTCTGAAATTAAGTCTGTTACTAACATTCTTAAGATTGGTAGAACATCATTAGCTTCAATTTACTCTTGTTTTAACTTTTGTGTTTCTTCTACCTTTGTTTCTTGTGGTGCTATCCTTTCTACAATTTTTACTGGTACTTGTTATTCAGATGCTATTAATTTATATCTTGATTTGTTTACATTCTATTTGTGTCCATTTATATTAAGTATTAATGATGTGGTTAGTAGAATTGATTCAGTTTCATGTCATTTTAATTTTGATAAAGCTACATTGTTTTTGGGTCTTGAATCATTATTTTATTCTATTATTTTCTTTGTGATTTCATTTTATACAAGAGATTCTAGTATTCCTCAAGCTAATGATACAACTATAAATCCAAAAGGTTGTAATATTTCTATTATATTCCTTGGTAACTTTTATCTCGGTATATACAGTTTAGCTTTTAATAGTAAAATTGGTAGTATTGGATTATCTATTTTCAATTCTAGAATTCCTTTATTAGTTCTGATTATATCATCTTATACATTTATTATTTTAGTTTTACTTTACTGTTTTAGTATTTCTTGGTTTAATAGTTTATTCTTTAATGAGAAATATTCAACAAGTACAACTGATAAGTGTGGATTATTTATAATGTTTATTTCTTTTTTTATTATTCATTTAACTAGATACTGTTATTCTAGATTCAGTAAGAATTACAATAAGACGTTTAATAAATCCATTTAATTTTTTACCCACCTTATGATTGTATGTATAAAAAAACTATTTTACAAATTTTTGTCTCTGTCCCTATTAGTTACGGGGACATGTTCATATTTTATTATTTTACTCGAAAATGCTTATAGAACATCATTTGATAAAACATTCACATTGTTTTTAATATCATTTGTTTATTTACTTATAAATATTTTAATTAAAAATGATAAACTTGAATTTATTGATTTTAGTTTTAAAAAACATACTTTTATAGAAGATGAATCTGAACAGATAGAAGATTTTATTGATTCAGAAGATTCAATTGAAATTCAAATTATAAAAAATGAAGATAAAATTAATTAGGTTTATTGAAGTTTCTTTCTTATTAAAAAGATTAACTGGGCAATTCTAGTTAAACTTGGATACTCTACAGCAACTTTACTTATATTCTTTAAGTAAATAATCACTTCTTTGCCATTTTCAACATTTCCAAATATTTCCAGTCCTGTCTTTATAGAAAAACCAGATCTTTCTGTTATGAAACCAAAGAGATTTGATGGAAGCTCACATTTTAATCCTGTTGTTATCCTTGCAAATTGATTAGGACTAATATTTAAAGGTTCAAGAATTGTTAAATCATAACCAGCTGCTCCTTCTGTGTATAATTTTGGAATTACTGCATCTTTATGTAATTTTGTAAATGTAATTGTTGGTTTATTCATATCAATGGGTGTTTTTATTTTATAATTTTTTTATAAAAATGGAAAAATCTATTTAATAATTAAAATTAATTAAAGAATGATTTAATAATTTTATATTTAATAATTTTATTAAATTACGATAGAATTCTTTAAAATGATTATTAAAATTTTTTAATCACTAAATTAAATTATAAAAATTTATTAATCATTTAAATATTTAAAAATTTAAAATACAGAAAATAACAATTAATTATTGTCGTAATAATTGAGATTATTAGACCAAGTGACGTAATTTTTTTATACATATAATTTTCTCACTAATTTTATAT